AACCATATGATGACCAACAAAGGATAAGTTGCAGACATGGGAACGAGGTTGGGATAATAACATTTAGATACAACTCATTGACGACACACTGGAAACACATCTACTGAAGGTTTCCTGGGTCTCTTAAACCGAGTTCTGGAATCTCTTACGTTCTCTTCTTAACTCAAGAAAAAATTCTGGGGCTCTGTTGTTGTTTCACAGAGGCCCTTTAAAACTAAACTAGGTGAAAAATTTGTAATTCTCTTTCAAAAAGCCACACCAACCCCTATTGTACCATTGATTTCAAATCGTATTATCAGTATTTCCCTTCAAGCTCTGACGCCAGCACCGACTTTCACATTGAAACTACTAGTTTTATCATATAAACTGCGGTATACAAGGATTTCTATTCTTGGAAAAAGCCCCCACAACACACATGAAACAAAACGAGAATTTTGCTTCAAGCACTCATAAACACGTTATAGTTCAACAACTGGTTATTCTTCGGAGTAAGAGGAGGAATAGAGAAAAGCGACCTGAGTTGGGGAGATTCTACCCTCAAAACCTACTTCAATGGCAAACAATATCTCGAACACTCAACTGAGCGACAGACAAAAAACAATACCTGACGATGATCCTCTAAACAGGAGACAAACCAAGCTACGAATGTACGAAAGCCCTATAATATCCGATGAACGAAATCCCATTTCAGCATACAAATTGTGCATGACCGAACGGCCTACGGAAACTCTAGTCGACGGGTCTCCACTTTAAACAATCTTTGCAAAACCCATGCGAAAGCTTTTAATTAATAGCGAAAAAAAACGTGACATGACCCTTTTAACCCTTACTAAAATGTATCCGGCGACGCCGTGTAAAGGTATGAGTGCCTGTTTGAAATACCACCAATTTACCTTTGACAAAATAAGTAGCGGGTGGGAATTTTTAGCGCTGAATCATTACAAAAACGTGTTCATCTTTGCTGAGAAATTTGGTCTCAAGTGACTTGCAGACTCACGTCTCCCGTAAGTCCTGTAATATAACCTGGAATTTTATTTTGAAGTGAATTGTTGGATCGTCATGAGTCGACTTGGCTAATAAAAATCAATGATATTCATATAATGTTGGTTGCCTTATAGTCGTTGTCATTGTTTTTTTTTTGTTTTGTTTTTTTGCAAGCTCTCTCCGTGTATGTTCGATACATTTAGCCTGTGAATAATCAATGTTATGTGGCTCTGTTGTTTTCACAATATATGTTCGCACTTGATCTACTCTGAATGTGTGATGAGATCCCTGCATGTTTAGGTGAACTTACTTTCATAAACATTTTTCTTTGTCTGCCAAATATTTCCTTGGCCAGTGAGCCCTATGGTGACGATCAACAATATCCTCCACGTTAAGTTTGTCATCGATGGAACTTGAAATTTTCCAACCTCTCTACTTCTCCTTTTCACAGTTTACAAGTCGCGTGTATTATGGACTATCGTCTCAGTTTGTCATCTGCTTTTTTTTTTATGAAAAAGTGACGTGACATTCAAAACACAATAGCTGATTGCGTAATATCATTCCACAATTCGGGTTCGAATAACCATAGGGTGTGATATTTAGGGCCTGTTTACATGAGTGAGGGTGCCCCTACATAGTAGCGTTACCCGGTAGGATGACCCTAGGGGTAGGGTTACCCTACCTGAAAGATAGCGTGACCCTACTGTGTAGGGACGAGTTTTGCCGCCATTAGCCCATGTAAACGCAAAACCTAGGGCTATCCCTAGGGGTAGAGCTATGTCCAGTCATACCGCTGACACACAGCGCAGGCATCTCAGCGAAACAAAATGGCGGACAGTGGAACAGCATCCACAGCTAGTGTTAGCTACAAAACAGGTGAAATGTTATATTGGGCTGAAATGTGCTGGCTAGCCAGTTGTAAACGCTGTCTTTCAGCCATTAGAGATATCAACAACAAAGCACAAAGTTGAAAAGAAGGAACTAAAGAAGCGAGTGCCGTAAGAATCGAATTAACCGCCAAAACTTTATCTCCCGCCGTCATTTTGGTTGTTTTCCTTGCTGGGTGACCTGGCTATAGTGTCAGCCCTCGCCCCTAGGGTTTCAAATTACCATGTAAACGCTCGGTATCTTCAACCCTACCAAGTAGGGTAACCCTATCCCCTAGGGGCACCCTCTTCCCATGTAAACAGGGCCT